CAAAAAAAAAAAAAAAAAGAAAAAAGAAAATCACATCTAGTTACATAATATTCAAAACCAAAAATAAAAAATTGAAAGAAGCCAGAGGAAAAGCAGGAGAAAATAGTAAGAATCACATATTTTTATCATAAATAGTAGAGACCAGAAGACAATAGAGCAACATCTTCTAAAATACTGAAAGGAAAAACCTGTCAAGCTAGAGTTTCACATCCAGTACAATATCTTTTAAAAATGAGGGAAAGAACCAAGCATGGTGGTACAATGCACATCCATAATCCTGGTACTCAAAGGCCGAGGCAGGAGGATCACTGCTAGTTCTAGGCCAGCCTGAACTACATAGCAAGATTCTGTCTCAAAAAAACAAAAACAAAAAAGCCTGGCATGGTGGTACATGCCTGTAATCCCAGCACTCAGGTTAGCAGGAGGATTGCTGTGAGTTTGAGGTTAGCCTAAACTACACAGTGAGTTCAAGGTCAGCCTAAACTACGTATCAAGACCTGTCTCAAAAAAATAAATAAATACAGTGAGTGTAAAATAAAAACATTTTAAGATAAACAAAAGATTAGATGATTTGTTACTAAAAGACTTACAATATGAAAAGTGTTAAAGGATGCTCTTTAAACTGAAGATGGAAATCAAGTTATAGGAAGAGGTAAGGAGTAGCAGATACGATAAGTAGATATATATAGAAAAGACTTTTTTCCTTGAAATATTCTTAACGGAAACTAAGTTTTCAGAGCAAAAATAATTTTGCAAAGCAGAAGTATAACATTTAAAAATACTCAAAATAGAGGCTGGGATGTAGCTCAGTGGTAGAAAATGTGCTTAGTATGTGACAGGTCCTGGCTTCAATCTCTAGCACCAAAATAAAATTCTCAAAATCGAGCACAAAAAAGTACTAAATTAAAACTCCCAAAATAAAATAAAATAAAATAACCACAAATGGTTATTCTCTCGTGATATAAAATGTTGAGTGTCTTTTCATATCTTTGTCATCTCTATATATTCTTTGCGAGGTATCTGTTCATATCTTTTGCCTATTTTTAAATTGAGTGTTCATTTTCCTACTGTTGAGTTTTTAAAGTTCTTTGCATGTTTTAGATAACAATCCTTTATAGATATGCTTTTGCAAATATTTTCTCCAGTTATCTGGCTTGTCTTATTCTTTCAACAACATCTTTCACATGGCAGTTTAAAATTTTATTTTGATTAAGTCCACTTATAAATTACTTTTTTTCCTGGATTATGTCTTTAGTGTTATATCTAAAAAAGTCTTCCTCATACTCAAGGTTACCTACACTCTTTCTATGAATCTTCTAGGATATTTAGATACAATTTTTTCCATTGTAATTTTTTTGTTTTTGTGTACCAGGGATCGAACTCATGACTTCACACTTGCCAGGCAGGCTGTGAGTTAATTTTAACCTAGCTGTTCCAGCACATTTATTGAAAAGACCCTGGTTGCTCCATTGTACTGACTCTGCTACCTTGTCAAACATCAACTGACAATATTATTTCTTTGGAGCTGTTTCTGGACTCTGTATTCTAATTCACTGATTTGTCTATTCTTTAGCCATCACCACGTTGTCTTGATACTGTAGCTGTGCATTCAAGTTTTGATGTTGTTTAGTGCTGGTTCTCTGACTTTGTTCTTCAATACTGAGTTGGCTATTCTGGTTCTTTTACCTTTTCACAAAAACTATATTATGTTTGAGTTTCCTCAGTTTTTGGTGGTTCTTTTTCCCTCAGTGTTGCAGATCAAGTCCAGGCCTCACACATGCTAGCTAAGTACTCTATCACTATGTTGTATACCCAAATTTTGTATACACTTTAGAGTCAGTTAATCAATATCCACATTAAAACTTAAATTTTGATTGAGACTATTATTGCATCTACTGATCAGTCTGAGAACTGACATTTTGACAATATTGACTTTTCTTTTTTTTTTTAATTTTATTTAAGGAGAAAAAAAAGCAGAGAAAGGGTACAAGTTATACAGATTTACAGAAAAAAATAAACAGTAGGAAATCACTAGTTAATGGATTACACATTGTCATCCTAGAAACAATTGTTCAAGTCACAAAGTTAAAGCTTGTAAAGTGCACATTCCAACAGTGAGACTGCAAACAGTTTTGTTCAATGATCCAATAAAACTCAGTGATATCATTTTCTATCTTATACACTTAAACATACATGCAGTTATATCATTTAGAGCACTTTCTTTTCCTCTCTTTTGTACAATGACAATTACACATTTTGGGTTTTGTTACTCCCACAGTTCTTATTACTTTTTTGGAAGGGAGTAGAACCAAATGTGACATAACAGAACAGAGTCAATCAAATCAAAAGGGTGGACATAATAGATAATGTAAAAGCATAATACAAGGTGATCAATAATGGTTACCATAATGCCTCCCGCTATCTCTAATAGAATTGCCTATATCATCAGTTATAATAAAATTGAACAAAACAGTAAAGAACAAAACCGACAAAACCAAAACATTGGAGACATTGTAGGTCTTCAAAAGTAGATAAAAGTCATCGAGAATGGGCATCATAATGAATCTCACTATCTTCACAGCTGTTGCCTAAACTTTGGAACCTGGTACTATCAAGCAAAGCAGAATAGGGGGACATCAGTCAAAAACAAGATGGTGAGAGTAATACATGGCTTTACATCAAGATAATGGAAAGTCAAAGTGGGTTGCTATAATATATCCTGCTATTTTTATTTATTTTTCCCTTAATTAAAAGTATAAAAATTAAAAAGTAAATAATGGAGTGGAGATTGAGATAAAAGAGGGCATAACAGCAAATCAGCGCAGATCAAAACGTAACCATTTAAGCAGAATAGTGTTTCACCACAAGATAATCCTGACATAAAAGTAGTTACCATATTGTCTCTTTCCTTGAAATCCTTGAGTACAACTCTGTATATTGTAGCATTAAATATATCAAAACAATGTAAAACCATTTAAGAGAATGATAGCATTACAGGGTATTTAGGATCAACTAACAGAAAATGAACAATGGTTTCTGTATAATCTCCTTGTCTTTAAAAGTTTTTGCTTATACTATCGTATATAATAAAATCCAATAAGATACAACCTGTTTAGACCAATGGAGACAGAACAAAAGTTTGATGAGACTTCAAAACAAGATGATACTAAATCAGTATTATCTATTAAGACGTCATTTTCTCCAAAATAGCTGTTCCTATCATCCAATCATCTCTGCCTCATTTCTGTTGAGCTCTTTTTCTGTCATTAGTTGTCAGTTTGTCCTCTTCATTTCGCTTTCTGCTCCATTCATTGTGGCCACTCTGCCACTATTTCTGGATTCTTTGTATTTTTCTTTTTTAGAATATCCTGCAAGACTCTCTGTAGAGTTGAATTGGTGGTTGCAAATTCCCCCAGTTCCTCTTTATCCTGGAAGCACCTTGTTTTTCCATCAATTTCCAGGGACAGTTGTGCAGGATATCTCAATCTTGGCTGGAGATTATTATCTTTCAAAGCTTGAATTATTTCCCCCCACGCTCTTCGTGATTTGATGGTTTGTGCAGAGAAATCTGCTGTAATTCTGATGGGTGATCCCTTGTAAGTGGTCTGTTTCTTGTTTCTGACAGCTTTTAATATTCTGTTCTTGTATTGAATTTCTGGAATTTTTATTATCATATGCCTGGGTGTTGCTCTGTTTGGGTTGTAGGTGGCTGGGGTCCTGTATGCCTCATACATCTGAGTATCTTTACCTTTTGCTAAATTAGGAAAATTCTCCTGGATTATTTCTGTGAGTAGCTTTTGTAGTTCATTTGTTTGTGTCCCTACTTCTTCTTTTATGTTCTTAATTCTTAAGTTATGGATCCTCTTATCATCTTCTTGTCTTTGTATAATATTGACTTTTCTTATCCATGAATATCGGATATCTTTCCATTTATTTAGTTCTTTTATATTTTTCATCAGCTTTGTAGTTTTATTCATAGTAACCCTTCATATCAACTTTTTTGAGATTTAAATTCAAGCATTTCATTGGGGATAGATGTTTGAAATTTTCAAAATTTCAACTTATTCACTGTTGCTATCGAGGAAATGATTGACTCTGGTATGTTAATCTTGTACCCTAAATCTTTTTAGGATATCTTTCATCCATATAACTTTTTCCACCAATATTTCAATTTCTACAAAAACCCTGTGGATATGATTGTGTTGAATCCATGTATCAATTTTAAGATAATGGACATCTTTTTTTTCAATATTTTATTCAAGTTTTATCTTAAGTGATGTTAATTACAGCATTTGAAGGGGAGAATCTAATTCCACACAAAATGGAAGACTCTAAAATGTACCAAATAAACTGCTGAAATATAAACTGAGTGATAAGAATACACCATACACCCAAGTTAGCTTCCTAGTGTTGTCATCGCGTGATTGCAGACTTCCCAGCTCATAGCTGGTCATACACTGGTGCAAGGGCAAAAAAAAAAAAAAAAATCCACAACATAAAAAGGAATTAAATCCTGAATGATTGGCTTCGTCACATCCCCCCTTGCCACCCCAAGATGGCACAAAAGGAGCAGCTACTGCTCCATGTGGACTACTTTTGGTGTATAAGAGGTGATGAGGAGCTGGGGTGGGGACAGGTTGTGAAGGTCTGTCTAAAAAAGTCCCTTCCAGACGAGCTTGTACACACCATCGAGCCATGAGCTTCTCACCAGTCAGGGTTAGGAAACCAAGGTCTCATTCTCAAAGTCACAACTCATTCATTTACTCAATGCAGATTTACGAAGTGCCTACACATTATCAGCTTCCACTGGCAGCCATGTCTAAATTTTTCAAAAGGGAACCTGGCATTTCTAGGGGGGGCCACCATGTTCCCCCACGTGTACTGCTGAAAGGACCTTTTTCAGAATCAGGTTTCTTCTGTACCTCTGGATCGGTAACACCTTAAAGCTGAATCATCTTTCACCTGGAGGTCTAACATGATTTTTTTTTCTTTTTTTTTAGTGATTCTTGCATCCCAGACATACAACACTACAAGGTACACTAAATTTTGAAGGTAGCTGAAAGAGTTGCTGGCCCAGACCGGACACTTTAACCAGGAGAAGCCTCAGCCAAATTAAGGAGCTCCTGCCTCCCCCGCTCCTTAGAGATTTACCTGTAACCCTATACCCCCATTCCTAAGAACCTGCCTCTGGCGCCAAAAGTGTGCCAATGGGCTACCTGTGCATCCCTAATGCCCCTTGGGGTCCACCACAGACAGAGGCTACTTATGGGCCTCACTCCACGTGTGTGTGAGTATGTGTGTTCCAGAGAGAGACCGCCGGCCCCGGGGTGGAGATGCTGTGCCCCGGAGGCCGGGGGGTCTCTCCCCGCATTCCCGAAATAAAGGTTACTTATATTTTATATTTCTTATCTTTGCAGCCACCGCCGCCCACCCCTTTCATGGCCACTCCACTCCACTCCAGTCTCTCCACTCCTTCCTTCCCCACTCCACTCCTCTTCTCCTTCCTCTTCCTCCCCTTTTCAGACCTAACAGTAGCTATGCTGCAAAATAGTTTAAAATTAACAATTGTACAGTATGCATTTATGCTTGAAACTCCAATCCTAGACCAAGTTTGTGGCCACCGGCGTTGACATTCTTGCCGTCCAGCAGAGTTGAGAGTGTCAGTTTGATCCCTGGCTTTAGGGTCTGAGTGCATCCTAAACCAATCAGGCTGGAGTTGTTCACTTTGGCCGAGAAGCAGGCGTCAGGGTCGATCTGATACTTGGCTGCGATTCCAAAGCGAGTGTTGCTGTTTCCTGCTGTCCAGGCAAGACTGGCAGCGGTCTCCAGCTTCTTGTTCACCTTCTGGTAAATGGAGCCACCAAATTCTGTCCCGTCATTCACGTTAGTGTGAAGCTGGAACTCATCCATCTTATAGCCAACGGCGAAGTTGCTCTGGGTCACTCGGGACTTTGCGGTCTCGAAATTCATCTGGTAGCCGGCCAGCCAGCCCTCATGGCCCAGCACCAGGGCTCCGCGGATCGAAGGCCCCGCGATGTCGAAGTCCACGTCGCAGCCCAGGTTGATTTGTACCCCGTCTTGATTTTAGCATTTTTCTTCCCAGTGTTAGGTGAGAAGGACGAATCAAAAGTCAGCTTCAGTCCATGTGCAAGCTGATCTTCCACGGTGATCTCGCTGCCCAGGGTGTTGTCCGTGTTCCATTTCTCGGTGAAAGTCAGGCCGTACTCGGTCCACCTGTACTTGGTTTCCAGGCTGCCTGTCACTTTGGTGGTCTCTGTGTTGGCTGAGCCGGAGCTTGTGAATTCCAATCCATTCTCGGACTTGGTTTTCAAATCGAGTTTTATTAATCCAAACCCGTAGCCCTTGGTGAAGACGTCCCTGGCAGACTTGCCAAGATCGGCGTATGCGGGCAGCACGGCCATCTTCTGCCCGGCGGTGGCGGCGGCAGCGGCCGATAATGGACATCTTAGCAATATTGAATCTTTCATTTTTTTGTTTCAGCATGGAAAATTTTTGCTATTATTGTTCAAATTATCTTTCATATGTATTGATGCTAGTATAAATGAAACTGCTGCAAATTTTTCCCTAATTATCAGCTAATTGTACATTAAAATTTTTTTTGGTAGAAATGGGGATTGGATACAAGGCTTAACCCTGAGCCAGTCCTTTTTTCATTTTTCTATTTTGAGATAGGGTCTTACTAAGAGCCCAGGATGGGCTCAAATACGTTATTCTTTTGCCTCAAGATCTCAAAATGCTGGAACTATAGGCAGACAACTCTCCCCTCCAAAAAAAGAAATCTTTCCAAAATGTTGTACAAAACAAAGAGAAACATTATGTAGAGCCTGGCCTGATTCAGGAAAAGAATTAACTTCACTATTATTAATAACAAACTTTTATTATATCCATTTCCTATGTATTATATACTATAGTAATACTTTATATCACTAAGTAAACTTTAATCTTACGAAATAAGAATTTATTATGCCCCCCCCTTTTTAGTACTAGCAACCGAACTTGGGGCCTTAGCACTGAGCTATACCTTCTACCCTTACTTATTTATTTATTTATTTATTTATGGGTTTTGTTTTGTTGTGTTTGTACCTGGGATCAATCTCACAACCTGTGCTTACCAGGCAAGCACCTGAACTGCTGAGCTAAATCCCCTTGTGCGTACCAGGTGAGTGCTTGACCTGCTTAAGCCTAAAGTCCTTAGGGCCTTAGCACTGAGCTAGACTTTCTGTCCTTTTATTTATTTATTTATTTATTTTTCCCTTTTTATTTTTGATTTTGAGACAGAGTCTCACTAATTTGTTAAGTTGCCCAGCCTTGACTCAAACTTGTGATCCTTTTACCTCCATCTTCCAATGTGCTGCAATTAAAGGTTGCACTATGTTCGATTTCCATTTTTACAGCTAAGAAAACTGTTTGAATGTTACATGGTTAGGTTCAAACATAGGTCTGTTTGACCTATAAAGCCTATATTTTTTAGTCACAATATATACCTAGGTATATACCCTGGTAAGTGGTTGTGGTGTGGCAGACTGCGGCCCTTCCAGGGGGAGAACCACCAGTGTCTCCTGAGATCCACGCCATGTTGGAACTTAGGACCCTGGGAAACCAAGCAACCAGCCTGCCTTCCTGCTAAGAAATAGTGAACCTACTGGTGCACACCATAGAGTCAAACAGCCCAATTCCTCTACCCGCCTTCCCCATCCCCCTGGTAGCAAATGGGAACCAGAAATCTGAGCATCTCTTGGGAAATTGACCATACCAAATAAGGGAGATTTCCTTCTACCATCTCTTTGAAGGCAAATATTTTTATTACTGTTTTGCTTTATTCTGATTAAATGCTCTATTCAATATTCTGTTTTGCTAAGTTCTATAATGTTCTGTATTTCATTTTATTTTGATATACATGATTAAAAGAATAACTATTATAAAGATAACGAAATATACTGTGATAAAAAAATATATATACTGAGGTAAAACTCTAAGAGTATAAACAACATTACATTCAATTTTATATTTTATTTAAAAAACATAACTATTCAAATTGTTGTTGATTAAAAATTTTTATGTACTACTCTAATTCTTCAAGAAACTCCACAGATATAAAACTAAGCAATTATTCTAGTATGTAGCTACCTCCTCAGCTCTTTTTATTATTATTTTCTTCTTTAAAATTTGAGACAGTCTTGTTAAGTAAAAGCTGTATGCCTTATGATATTCATTGCAGTAATGCTAACATTAATTAGCACTTATTAAAAACTGCACTCAGAATAACCATTATACTAAATGCATTACATGTAGTTTTTCATTTACTCCTCAAAAAGCTTTATGAGGTAGTTATTTTTAAAAGATCAAATAACTTGCTCAAGGACACATAGTATGAGCCACTATATACATATTTGTCTTTTTGAGACAGCCTCCCAGATAGCCTGAGATTATAGGTATGCACTACCATGCCCAGCTATACTGCTGTTAACAATAATGGGTGAAGAAAGAACATGCCTAAATGCCTACTCACAAAAAATGGCTAATTTATGATACAATTTGCTTTCTTTTTCTTCCTCTGCCCCTTCCTCTTTGCCTGTCTGCCCCTGCTTCCCTGCCCCTCAGTATTGGGAACTGAACACAGGCCCATTGCACTGAAATAAATCTCTAGTCCTTTTAATTTTTTATTTTGAGATAGGATCTTACTAGTTCACTAAATTGCCCACGTTGGGCTTAGATTCACAATCCTTCTGTCTCAGCCTTTCAGGGTGCTAGGATTACAATTTATGCCATCACAACCAGCTATGATGCATCCAGATGAACCATTTAGCTATTTAAAATAATTACTAGAAGACTATGTTGTAGCATGAAAAATACTTATGTTAAGTGAAAAAAATAGGATGACATCTATACTGTGATTGCAACTGTATTAAAAATAAATGGGAAGGAGCTTCAGAAGAAAAAGATTCACTTAAACATAAGTGGATCTGATGGTAGTAAAGCTGAGATATTATTTTTGTTTGGTTTGGTTTTTCTGAGAGACTCAGCAAACCAGTAAGTTTTACATTGCCTGACTCCTGTCCTTTAACATAGCCTTATACGCTTGTAAATAATGTACTGGTAAATAAAACCACAATTCTAAGGCATTTCTATGAATAAGGCTAATTAAGATATAAGGGGAAAAAAGCTCTTTGGCTGACTCCATGGCTTAATGTCACTAATTACACTGGATAATTATTTCCATTTTGAGACATTACTTTTATATTACAAAACAATTCTAGACATGGTTTAGGAAAGGAAAGAAAAAGCAGAACATTATAATGAGGATCAGAGATCTTTCAGAAATATATTGAACCTTCACTGTCTTGAAATGCAGAGATTAGTGTGCATGGCCACATATTCACAGAGCCAACCAGCCAAGAAGACAGACATACAGGTGTGGTTACTCAGGTCTTCCATAATGGAAAAAGCACCTAACCTCACTTTACCATGGATTCTTACAAAAGAGGGACAAGGACTGAGAAAGAAGAGAGGAAAGGAAACTTGATCATCTTTTCAAGCTGGCATCTGCCTCTACACTGTCTCAACAATCCAACCACCAGACGTGGTTGCTTTCTTTTTCTTCCTCTGCCCCTTCCTTCTTGCCTGCCTGCCCCTGCTTCCCTGCCCAGGCTACTGAGCACCAACTCTGCAGATTTCTTCAACTTGTGGTATGAGAGTAAAGTAAGAAGTTGTTGAAGGAAGAGAGAAATGCTGCACATTCACGGAGCATAAATGGAAGCCAGATAGGCAAACCTCTAGAAAAATAGTACACTTTAAAGTAGCCCAAAATAATATCAAACAGTGGTGAAGACATAGTCTCTGGAACCAGTCTGTCTGGGTTCACATCTCCTACTCACCAACATACCAGATTTGTGACTTGAAAGAAGTTACTTAACTACTTTGTGTTTAAAATGAAATGTTTGCCATTAGTGTTATCATCACCACTACCAGGAAAAAGAGAAAGCACAAACAATAGAGGAAACTCAAAAGAAACATAAGTATTTTTAATAAAAGAATTTAATTATCAGATGAAATTAGATAGTTCATCTAATTTGAAAATTAAGATGAAATGTCTAACATATAGCAATTATGCAATAATACGTATAAAAAGAATAAAGATATGAGTCCTCAAAATTAATATACATACTTTTTTACATTTATATTTTCCTATATACCTTTTGGATTTTTTATGGACATGTACTCTGAATACTTTAATAGCCTGATATAGAATACCAAATCACTACCAAGAATAGATACACTTTTTTTTATTTTCGAGACAGACTCTTGCTATGCAGTGCAGGCTCACCTTGAACTTGCTTATGTATCGTAGGCTAGCCTCATACTCACGGAGATCCTCTTGCCTCACCCTTCTGAGTGCTGGGATTATAGACATGTTCCACCTCACCCCGCTAACAGCAGATGCAGTATAAGAAGTTTTAAAGAACAGAAATGGATAAACCTACTCAACTCATTTTATAAAGTTAACACTAAGACAAGAAATGAATATTATATGCTAACCTCAATAGAAATATAGACATAAAGATGAAATCCAGGATATTTAAACTTATACCAGATCGAACTATGACAAATCTGCAAAGATATTTGAACAAAAGCCTACCAACACAACTCAAAGATTTTTTAAATGCCATAATATCAAAACATGTAGAAAAGAATTGTAGACAATACAATAATCATTTCTAATTAATGTGCTGGAAAGTGAGAAGACTCTTCCATAAACAAAATGATATCATACTCAATGGTAGACTTTTAAGTAATCTCATTTAAGGGAGGCAAGACACAGATGCCAAATATTATCCCTGCTTCTCTACCTAATACTGCCCTATCCAATGTAACATTATAAGGAAGGATTGAAAAGATTAAAGTTGTCACAATTTAGAAATGCTTTGACTGTCCATATAAAAGATCCCTAAGAATCTGCAGATAAATTATGAAAATCAATACAGGTTCCATCTAGTAAAGTTAAAAAAAAAGAATACTATTCATAATAGTTACAAGCACTTGTAAGGCTCTAGGAATAAATATAACAAAATATTTCTAAGCCCAGTATAGAATTACAAAGTGTTAACATAAAAAATTCTAAATGAGAATGACATCAGCAAAATGGCAGAAAACCAAAAGCTAGGTTTTCCCCCACTGAGATACTGACTTAAAAGAGTATCACATTGTCTCTGTGAGAACTTCACAGTCATGAAAGAGTTGCAGAACTACAGGTAAACACAAAGTCAAAAAGAGCCACATCAAAGAATGATCCAGGTTAAAGGAGAAACTTCCACTTGAGACGTCCGAGCCTAATAGTAGACGCAAAGGAAACACCACTGAAACACATACTGGCTCTTAAAGTTTCTCCTTAAAGACTGCATACATTATTTCCACTTATATTTCACTGGCCCAGGCA